TCCTGACCCCCCCGAGCGGAACCATCGTGAAAACATATGGTTTCTAGCGCCCCAGAGCGGGGGCTAAGCGTGAAAGCACTTGGGCTCCGAAGGCCCCAGAGCAGGACAGGCGTGAAAACACATGGGATCCCAACGCTCCAGATCGGGACAAGCGTTAAGTCACAGGGGTTCCTAACGCCCCCGAGCGGGACAAGCGCGAAAGCGCGTGGGTTCCTTACGCATCCGGGCGGGACAAGGGTGACAACACGTCGGTTCTTCACGCCCCAGAGTAGGAAAAGCGCGAAAACACGTGGGTTCCCAACGCCTCCGAATGGGACAAGCGTGACAGCACGTGGGTTCCTAACGCCTCAGAGCGGGACAAGCGTGAAAACGCGTGGGCTCCTAACGCCTCAGAGAGAGACACGCGTGAAAAGACGAGGGTTCCTAAAGCACCAGGGTGGGATACGCGTGAAAACATAGAGGTTCCCAGCGCCCCACAGTGGGACAAGCGTGAAAACACGTGGGTTCCCAACGCCCGAAAGCGCGACAAGCGTGAAAACATTTGGGCTCGCTCCCGAGCTGGACAAGCGTGAAAACACGAGGGTTCCGAGTGCCCCAGAGCGGGACAAGAGTGACAACACGTGCTTTTTAACGCCTCAGAGCAGGACGGCGTACGCCCTTCTCCCCTCGGCGCGTCCCGTAACGCCTTCCCTGGCTCGTCCACTGTCGCGCTCCCTGGCTTGTCCCCTGGCGTTTCCCTTAACCGTTCCGTCGCGCTCCCTGTGCCCCAGCCCCTGACACGTGCCGTGGCGACTTCTCTAGCGTGCCCCTGGTAGATCCCGTGGCACGTCCATGCGCCCTGTGCCCCGTGTCGTTGCGTTCCGCGTAGGAACCGAATCGGATCATGAGCTCGAGGTGATGGAGCGTCCCGCATGTTTCGACTGCAACCAGCTCTGGGCCAGATACGCGCTGAGGAAGCTCGAGCTTAAGATCCAGATGAGTTCGGTCAGGAGTCGGAAGCCAAGGGTGACTTGATACACAGCGCTATAGAACACAACGCAATTCATCGCGGCATGACGCATCTAATTTCAGCACGGCGTAGCCCAGCACAATTTTTGGCACGGTGATCAGGATCGGTCTCTTCAACATTGCAATTGCTTGTCTCCCAATCGGTGTGTTGAGAACGTGGCAAGGCCTCGCATTTCTAAATTCCTTTATGGGTTCGTGGGTCGATCATGTTCGCGACGCGAGGATGTCAGTTCGATGTCTGTTCATGGGAGCGTTTGGGCGGCGACATTGACACGTTTGATTTCCCGCATCTTGGACCGCATCTGGACCGCCTCTGGTCCGTTCCCCTGGTCCTCCTCGCCCTTCCTGTTTTCAAGGAAGGAAAAACCACCTGGACCAGACAATAGGCGTTTACTAAGCGGCCCTGGGCGTTTACTAAACAGCCCTGCCCTGTTTGATTCCCTCTTGGGGCGCGTTTACTAAACGACTTCGCGTGTCGGGGTGGTTATTATGGGGTGGATTTCTGAAGTCTGTGTTTCTCTACCCCCCCTCTGCCTTCTTCTCGTCTCCCTGGTGACGGCGAGTCCGGTCCGAGTCCGGTCCCGGCTGCGCTCCAAGACGCGGTCCAGCGCCGGGGGGGCCCACGCAGGGCCCCCACGGCGACGGGCACCAGATGTCGCCGGACCCTGAAGCGGGACGAGCTCGGCGACGACTGCGAGCGTTCCAAAAGGTGATCGTCTTTGATTCATTGTTTTGCCGATCGGCGCGGGCCCTCGCACCCCCGCTCCCCCCCCAATTCACCACCTACCAAACCACCCCAACCCAACCCGAAGGCCTCAATTTGCCCTCCATTTCCAGTTGGGGGGGGTTGGGGAACGTTGAAAAAGCACATGGAACCCGTATCCCCCCCAGCCCGAAATTCGGGTCAAATTCGGGTCTTCGGGTTGGGTTGGGGTGGTCTGGTAGGTAGTCACCAATGGAGTAGATATTGGCTGTTTTTGGCGCCTGTTTTGAGCATGTGGAGCCTCCCCCCATGGGACGCACGGTCGCAAAGAGTCGCACTAAGCAGAGGTCCAGAGCCAGACCCCCTCCCTTCTCCCCTCCCCCCTTCCGCCCAATGTCGAAACGCCGAGTAAAGAAACGCCCCCAAGTACAAGGGAAATTATTGATTTCACCCTCCTGGGGTCATCTTGGAGGTGCCCTTGGACCTTCCGTCGTTTTTTTCGCGACGCGAGGATATCAGGGCCATGTATGTCTTCGCAATTCCGTCTTTCAGACTGCACTAGCGTGCGCTAGCGTCTGACAGTGGATGAGAAAGCGCCGACTTAGCGTCCAGTTAGTGTCGATTAGCGTCGATCAGCGTCGGTCAGCCTCGGTTGGCAGCAAGAGCCAGCAAGATGGCATGGGAGGCTCCCGCGAGTTGCCACAGGGTATGAGGATGTCCGGGCCCCGACGGGTGTAATCCCGACGACGACGCATGCTGCGTCGTCGGGCGTGGGGTGCAGCGTTACCCCAGGCCTCCCAGATGTGGTCGGAGCAGGCGTGGCCGTGGGAGCGCGCCGCGCCTCCGACGCACCGGCGATGCCGCTCGATGCGAAGCCCGATGTTCCGACCGCCGCCGCTGCCGATGCATCACCGACGTCGCCGATGCCTCGCCGGTGCAGCGGCGATGCGGCGCGATCCTCTGGCCCCAGCTCCTCCGATCCCAGCTGCGAGTCCTCCGGCAGAGCAGAGATGTGGCCCCGGACCCGCGGGGCCGCGGACCCGCGGGGCCTGGGGCCCGCAGCCGCAGCCCAGGAAGCCCAGGGCCCGGGGCTCGGGGCCCGAATTTCCAAATTCTGCCGACCCGAGGCCGAAACTCTTGGGGCCCTGGGCTTCGGGGCCCGAAGGGTCCGAAGCGCGGGGCCCGGTGCCCGGGGCCCGGGGGCCCGAAGCCGAGGCCGAAGCCTGGGGCCAGGGATCCGTGCCCCCTGGGCCTGGGGCGCGGGCTCCGAAGCCGAAGCCTGGGGCCCGGGACCCCGGGCCCGGGACTAGGGCTCCTCCTCCTTCTGCTCCTCCTCCTGCTCCTCCTCCTCCTCCTCCTCCTCCTCCCTGGTGGGGCCGTTCAGGCGTTGGATTTGTCTCCAAGTCCCTCAGGCGGCGAAGCTCTTCTGAGCCTTCAGAACCCTGCCGAGGACGCTTTTTTTGTTGGGGGGGGTTCTCTGGGAGGGAGAACTCCCCAACAGCCTCCTTGGAAGTGCTTCTTTTTCGGAGGCCTAGGTGACCCCCCGAGAGGTATTTGAACACTGCCAGAAAAATTTAAGAACAACCCACAGAAACTCCAGATAAAGAAACATTATGGGAGATCCGGGGGGGTCTTCGAACTGCGATTTTTGGGATTTGTTGGGCCCCCAGCATTTATTAATTTCTCATTCGGGTTTTTAATTGTGGCCCCCCAGAAACCGCCTCAAAACTTCTTATGTAAGCTCCCCTCTCCCCTGGGCTTCGCCCCCGACCCCCCACTCGTTTCTTAAGCATGTTTTTTGTTCCAGGTTTTTTCTGGGTGGTCCAGGGGGGGAGTCCCACACGGTTCTCCCAGTGGCACGTCCCCTGGCACGTTCCCTGGCTCTTCCTCTGGTTCTTCCCCAGCACGCTACGTGACGGGTCCCCTCGCGCGTCCACTGGTGCGTCCTTGGCGCGTCCCCTGGCGCGTCCCGTGAGACCTCCCCTGGCATGTTCCCTGGCTCGTCCCCTGGCGCGTCCCCCTGGTACGCCCATTGGCACGTCCCGTGTCGCGTCCATGACATGTTCATGGCACGTCCCCAGAGACGTCCCCTGGCACGTTCCCTGGCGCTTCTTCTAGAGCGCCCCTGGCGCGTCCTCTGGTGCGCCCCCAGGAGCATCTCCCGTCGCGTCCCTGCGTCCCCGGTCGGTTCGTCCAGTCTCCGAACCGAGTCGGACCTTGGGCTCGAGCGGGTTCAGCGCCCCGCAGGGTCCAATTACACCCAGCTCTGGGCGAGCCATGCGCCCAGGCATCCCGAGCTGCAGGTCGAGTGGGAGCTGCATGCTGAGTGGTGATCGTTTTCTGACTCACGGTTTTGCCGATCGGCGCGGGCCCTCGCATACGCCCCCCCCCCCTCCAGTGGAATTGATATCTTGGCTGCTTCTGGCGCCTGTTTCGGGCAGGTGGCGTCTCTCCTCCAGGACGCACTGCTGCAAACAGTCGCATGAAGCGGAGGTCCAGAGCCGGACCCCCCCTCTCCCCCCCCCTCTCCGCCCAGTGCCGAAGCGCCGAATGGGCAAACGCCCACCAGATCAGTTCGGCCAGGGCTCGGACGCCAAGGACGGCTGGACTCGCGACGCAGCAGAGAACCACACGGCTCTCCTCGGGCGAAGAGAACTATGCACATGCACCGATCCTGGCAAGGCCCGTCCTTGACCCTGGATCGGTGCATACGCCTTCCTGGCCAAGGTAGGAGGGCGTATGCACCGATCCTGGGCTCAGGATGGGCCTGGCCAGACTCGGTGTATGTGCATAGTTCCTTTTCCTCTCCACCACATGCAGCAGCACAGCTCAGCACAGTCGAGCACGGCACGGCACGGCGTGGTGCACAGCCCAGCCGAGCACGGCACAGCCCCCGGCAGGGTGCCCGATCACCGTTGCACGCCCGTCGCCGTGGGCCCCGGCTGCGGGGAGGACCGTGGCCCGCCCCCCCCCCCCCCGTGCGCGAAATGAGCCGGCAGCGGCAGCAGAAGCGGCAGCCGATGCCGACGCTCGCGTCAGCGCTGGCGAAGTTGACCTTGATGCCGACGACGATTCGACGACGACGAAGTCGACGACGACGATGACGACGATGGCCACGACGACGCCGCATCCGAGGACGCCGCCGCTGCCGACGAAGACGACGCCGCCGACGACGACGTTGCCGTTGCCGACGACGACGGCCGTGTTCCAGCCTCTCGACGCCCTCGCCGCTCGTCGCCGCTCGTCTCTGCCGCGGGGCCCCGGCAGCGCCTCCCGTGCGCGTCGGCAGGGGTCGCTGCAGAGGGGCGACATGCTCATAGGCCGTGGCTTCCGAATAAGAAGAAAAATCAGAAGAAGGTGATGATGGTGATGAGGAGGAGGAGGATGATGAAGCCGAGGAGGACGAGGAGTAGGTTGGAGGAAGAGCAGGAGGAGGAGGAGGAGGAGGAGGAGGAGGAGGAGGAGCAGGGGGAGGGAGCAGGAGGGGAGGAGGAGGAGGAGGGAGGAGGAGGAGGAGGAGGAGGAGGAGGAGGAGGAGGAGGAGGAGGAGGAGGAGGAGGAGGAGGAGGGAGGAGGAGGAGGAGGAGGAGGAGGAGAGGAGGAGGAGGAGAGGAGGAGGAGGAGGAGGAGGAGGAGGAGGACGAGAGGGGGGCAGGGGCAGGGGCAGGGGCAGGGTCGGGGGCAGGGGCAGGGGCAGGGGGAGGGGGTAGGGGCAGGAGGAGGAGGCGGAGGAGGAGGAGGAGGGAGGCATGGAGGATGCATGAGGAGGCAGACTTGAGGCGGATGAGGATGAGGAGGAGGATGAGGAGGAGGAGGAGGAGGAGGAGGAGGAGGAGGAGGAGGAGGATGAGGAGGAGGAGGAGGAGGAGGAGGAGGAGGCTCGAGGCGGAAAAGCGGATCCCCCCCGCGTGGGCTCGGGGGCTCGATGACAGCGTCTTCAGGTACAAGATCGGCCACGAGTACAGCAATGCCCTGGGCGCCAGTAGGACGGATATGCAGCACTTGAGCAACGACGGGACGCTCGCCTACATCGAGGCTGACGGTCCACGCGCTCGCCTCCTGTACCAAGGGGCCCGCAGCGAAGCCGACACCGTCATCAGCCCCGAGGGGATACCGAAGGCCATCACGGATATCCAGACAACACAACCACCTGCAGCCGCAGCCTGCCAGCCCAGCGATCAGCAGACCGCGATTTCGGATAGCATGTTTACGAACCTGGACAGCCCGCTCTCCGATGACCACAATGGGGTGCGCCATCAATTCCAGGATATCGGCCCAGATACGGCGGCAACGTCAGCATCTCCATCGGCGACACAGTACGACTCCAGAGCCAAGACTACACTGAAGGTTCGGTCGCGCTACAAAGCACACTGATAATAACCGTACCCGCCAGGGCATTTCCCCTATAGAGTGACACCGTGCCACCACTGGCTGTAAGCAAGGCAAGGCTGCACGGGTTGTCAGACGACGTGAAGTTGGCTTGAGGGAGCCAGGCGCAAACCCAGCACACTACCATACCAGGAGGTGCCATCCAATCCTCCTCCAAAGACAATACCACTCGCACGCCACCGGACAAAGGCACAGGGTAACAACAACACACCACTTGTGCAGGTGCCCTGCAAGCCACCTCCCGCCAAAACTGCCGTTTGAGCACCATACCACGCATGAGCACAGTATTCGGGCAGGTCACCACGCCCACAGAGGAACCACACATCGGCACGAAATCGCGATCCTCCGGGGCAGACCAACTTGGACCATCAACGTCAGCAGCATCCACTGCGAAAAGACCCGTAACTTTTCGGGACCCACGTCCACAGGTGGATCTCAGAGGCCATCGCAGACATCAGCGACCCCAAGACTACCTACGATTGGGGCGCAGACCCCAACAACATGCCAAGATGCGAATGCGACGCTCTGAAGACCTACGTCGCGGCCTCCCTCAATTACTCCATCCGCCGCGATGCGTTCCCAGCAGCGCCGCTACTCGCGACGACCCACGAGCAGACCGTCCTGGCTCACTTCATCAACCACCAGCTGGCCGCGATGGTCGTCTACCCGAGCGCCGACGATCGCGCCGACCTGCCGACGCCAGCTGCAGCCGGTCAAGATCGGCGCGACCTCCTCATGCACATAAAGCTAGTGATATGCTACAACCCTATTACTTCATAGCCAGTGCCATTCGCTATCTCGCTCGCTCTTCCAGAGGGGCGTCGCCGACGACGCCGTCGACGAGAAGATCGTCGAGCTGATCGAGGCCCGGGGGGCCGCCCTACCTGGCAACGTTCCGCGGCAGCCTGCGAACCACGGCGTGTGCTGCAGTGGGGGGCCGCCAGATTGTAGATGCGACGGGGAATCGCCGCGCGCGCGGAGAACCGAGCGCCGTGGCGCAGAATGACAGCGCCACAGAACCCGCGTGCTCGGGCTCATCGCCTTTGGGTTCAGCGTCGCAGGCGCCGCCCGGCGCCGCTGACGCCGCCCTCAGCTGGGGCCTGTTCCACATCTGGCCCCGGCGCCTGTTCGCGGTGAAGCGCCCATGGCTGGCGGCCGCTGCCGACGCTGCTCGGCGGATGCTGGCGCCAACCCGCGTCTTGATCGCCGACGGCAACGCCTGGGCGACGGGCGACGACATCGACGACATCGGGCGCCCACCGCCGATGGCCGACATCAGTGCAAATCGCGACGACGGCGAGGTCGTGGACTACCTGGGGCGATGGCTTAGAGTGCGCGGCCAAGCAGGCCATCGACGCTGCCAATGCCATGCGCGCTGGTCCAAACCTGGCGCCGCTTTAGCAGCTGACGAACGCCGCCGCCAGCCCGAGCGGAGGAGAGCCAGCGCGTCACTCTGGCCGCCCTTCGTGCGCGTCTACTAGCCCGAGAAGCCGACCGCCCTGGCCATCGGGGCCCCCCTCTGATCAACCGCAGAAATTGAGGCGCACATCAATTTGGCTGCTGAACGGCGGCCCGTTGGCGCGTCGTCTACTTCGCGCACGTGGACTAGTTTTGCTCTTGCTGACAGCAGGCGCCGCCAGTGGCCAGTTGCTCCTTCCCGCGTCCAATCTCGGTGCTATCCTTGTGCCATGTAGTCGCGCCCATTGGGCGCTTCGCATTGCGTGTCCTGCGACGGCAGCGGTTGTCCTGCGCCGAATGCCTGCTCTCCGCGCCCGCCGCCTCGCCGCTACATGGTCGCGGCGCGCCGCGTATCCACGAGCCTCCCAGCGGCCATCGCGCGGCGCAGCGCTTGCGGCGAACGCGCTTACAACGTGCTATATTGTGCAGTGGGCCCTCGGAAGTTCAGGTCTTCAAAGCCAGCCGTGGCTTTCTCGCCGGCTGGCTCGCCGTCTCGCGGCCCCCCGCCCCGCCTCGCTGCGCTATCCGTTGCTTGCCCGCTCCTTTGGCGGAGGGGCGGGCGTGGTATATCTTGGTTGGAAGGGCGCGGAGAGGGGGTGCTCGCCGACGGCCGCCCCGGCGGGGGCCGCGACGGCCGCGGCTTCTGCGACGGCGAGCTTGCCGCGGCAGCGCGCGACTAGTGCGCGAGCCGACCCGCGCGCTCGCGTTTAGCTGGATGGCATCTCCCGCGTCTCGCCCCACCGGCAGCCGCCATTCGCGCGTGTCACGGGTGAGTCAGGCAGGCTGGGGGCGTGGGTCAATCTGCGGCAGAGACGGAGTCGCTGCCGCAGGAGGGTGCAAGCCTCCCCGTCAGCCCGCGGGAAGCCCAGAGTGGCCCCGAGTCACGTCATGAGTGCCGACTGCCCGCCTCGGCGACGGTCCGTTTCCCCGCCGCTAATGGGGGGGTTCCTCTCGCCCTTCACATCGGCGAATGTGGCCCTAGAGCCCAGCTGACAGCCGTCCTGGCGAGGGCCAGTGCGGCTGCGGCGACGACGGCTGTGAGCCCGTCGCGGGCCCGTTTCCAAGCTCGCTCCCAGTGCCGCCTACGCCAACTTGTACTTGCCACGCGCCTCGGCTACCCGCCAAATGCACGGCTGGCCGACCTGGCGCAGGCCTCGGGGGCCGCGCTGATTTCCGCGGCGGGCGGGGCGGTGGTGAGTCCGGCGCGGAGGGGCGTGCCAGACCAGTTGCGCAGGCGGAGCAGCGCCTCTGCGCCGCCGCAGCAGTCGCATGCCTCGTAATTTTCGACTGCGGCGAGGACCCGACGACGCGGCGGCCTGCCTGGGAGCTGTGTTGCTGGCGAAGCATCGTCGTGATCACTTGCTGCAGCCGACGGTCCAGTCATCTGCTTCTTTACCACCTACTTCCCACCAGTTTGACCGCCGTGCGCCTCGGCCACCTGCAAGCGCACGGCCCGCCGACCTGGCGTTGGCCAGGGCGGCCGGGCCCCGCAGCTCCGCATGTGCCTAGGCGCCGTGACACTCTCGCTGAAGAGTCGGGGCACTCGGGCGGGGTCAGATCCCCGAATCATCAGTGGTAACTCGGGTCAGGGCTAACTGGGGCTCGCTTTTCGGGATTCCGAACCCGAGTTGCCCCGGGCCCGAGTTACCCCGGATAACTCGGGCGTCCAGAGCCCCGAATCATCAGGGGTAACTCGGGTCAGGGCTAACTCGGGTTCGTTTTTCGGGAATCCAAACCCGCGTTACCCCGGGCCCGAGTTGCCCCGGATAACTCGGGCGCCCAACGGGGCTTGCATCGGGGGAAGGACTGCCAAAACAGCCTCAGGGCCACCGCCAGGAAGGCGCGCGCCTCCCCTGCGCCTGCCGGGCCGCCCCAGGCAGCCGCCAGCTCCGCGCCCGGGCGCCCTTGCGCCTGCTTCGGCGGGTGAGGGCCCCCGTTTTTTTTTTTTTTTTTTTTTTTTTTTTTTTTTTTTTTTTTTTTTTTTTTTTTTTTTTTTTTTTTTTTTTTTTTTTTTTTTTTTTTTTTTTTTTTTTTTTTTTTTTTTTTTGTTTTTATATATATATATATATATATATAAAACAAACTAATATATATATAGATATTATATATATATATATATATATATATATATATATGTATATATATATACATATATATAAATTTGTGTTGTGTGTATATATATATATATATTATATAAAGGGGGGGGGGGGCGTGCATTCCACGCTGTGCGAGCTTGGCCGTAGCCCCGCACGTGCGCCGCTGCGACTGACCACTGACGCCCCCCCTCCCCCGCGCTCCCATTTCGAGGTTATGTTGAGGTTCTGATTGGTCTCCTCCCCCTGTTCTCGCTACCGTCTGCTGTCTTTTGCCATGTGCTGTCTACTCCTGCCCGCGACTCCTGGAGCGAACGTTCCAGAAGTCGAGTGGCTCTTTTTTTGAGGGGGGGCGGAGGGGGAGGAAGGGGGGGGGAGGA